TTATTGGTGTCGAGTGTGGTCACCAAACACAGCGTGTATTCCCATTGAGTCTTAGTCTTGGAAGGGGTAGCCTGCTTTTATCTGGAAGAGTCTCACTGAAACCTGTCCACCATGGTTGACTCATTTGGTATTTAAAATATCAGTGGCATAGCTTCCAGCATTACAACATTGCAAGTCACCACAGTACAACAAAGTGACAGAAGGGTGGTAGTTTATAAACTTATAACTGTCTGATATATGATAATAAATAGTAATCAGAATTATGAATGTCTTTTTAAAATCTATTTCCCCTTATATAGCAGGTACTCCAGAAGATAAAATGAGGCTGTTTCTTATCTATTACATAAGTACACAGCAAGCACCCTCTGAGGTATGTCTTCTGTATTCACTTATTGGGCGAAAGAAGGAATTCCTGTCTGCAGAGTAAATGCTACAGTTAGAGTTTCAAAATAGAAATAAAAAGTACTAAGACTAAATAGACACTTCCTTTCTTTAAAAGAAAAATCATTTGCTCTATTTACTGCTGCGTTTTATAGCAATATTTGTTGCCACTAGGGAAATGATGCACTCATGAAATGTCTGACTACTTTTAAATTGTGGAAATATGAACTAAATTCAAGAGGCTAAAATTGTTATTTCTGGAAAATAACTATTTCTAAACTAAGTTAACAAGGCTTGGTATATATGTTCTTCCTCTTGTATTTTATATGTTTCATTTCTTTAAGTTATAGCCACTAATATTTATTTGGTTTCTGAAGACTATATCTTTAACCTAAAGTCAAAATTTGACAATATTTTGTTTTTGAACATTTGAAAGGAAAATGTCCGAAGTGTAAAAATTAATATATTAATAATATGTGTAACAATTTATATTATATATAATAAGACTGAACTTCAGATTCATATCTGTCATGCAGATTCATATAAAAATAAAACTGAGATGCTTTATAATGCAATTATGTAGATACTTTTAATACCAGAATACACTTCTAAGAATTACTAGAAATTAGCAAATATCTCTTTTCAAAAGTAGGGTTTTATATAAAAAACTTGACTGTGGATAATTTTTTGTTTACTTTTTCTGTAATAAACCATGAATTGCATTTGAAAAAAATAAAAAAACTATTTTTAAAAATATGTATTAAGGCATTTTGCTCCTATAAAAGCGTACAGTCTTGAAAAACCTTATACAGGATTGCTGTGAGTCAGAGCTGACTCGACACTTGACAACAACTGAGATGAAAGGAAAGCAGTGATTTGGGTGTTGGACTTTTTGTTGAGTTAGAGACCTGTTGACTTTTTCTGATGTTAGCTAGGCAGAATTTTACTGGATGAAAAACAGTCAGTGATGACATCTGAAGTAATGGTTCCTGCGACCTCTTTTCCTTTTCTAGTAGCAGTTAGTTTTTTTAATATCTGATAGACTGCAAGGCTTCTGTTGGTCAGCAATCTTTGACATGTTAAAACAGCAAAGTAAGTACAATATTTGCTTTAGGCCAGTTCTTTGTGACCCTGAGAAAATATCGCTTGACTTGTTTTAAATTAGTACAAAAGCAGTTTTCTTTGCAGAGATCTTTCTCAATAATGGGAATTTACCAATTCCTTAGGAAACACTAATAGTCTGTTTATTATTTTTTCTTAAGAATATGTGATTTGCAAATGTAATTCAAGATTCACTTAATAAAATGAATAAAGATGAACTACATCTTTATTTTTTATAAAGATTATGCCCTTTTATGAGCTATAATGACCATTTGTGGGTGTGAAGCAAATTGTGACTACTGATGTCAGATTAAAAATCTCTGGGAGTTTGTGAGCTTAAAGGCTTCTTCCTTTAAAATTGTAAATTTAGCTCATATAAATTCAGCTAGACTTGCTCATTAAGAAATAAAGTATGTGAAAAAGAGTGATTTTTTAAAGTATGGTGGTGGTGGTTATGTGCCGTGGAGTCGGTTCCGACTCAATAGTGACCCTGTACAGGGCTTCTGAAGCTGTAAATCTTTATGGGAGCAGAAAGCCTCATCTTTCTCCCGCAGTTTCAAACTGCAGATCTTGAGGTTCACAGCCTGATTCATAACCAACTACTCTACCAGAGCACTTTTTTAAAAATATAGACACATGTTTTTCAGTTGAGGAGTCTTAATCCCTAAAATGAATATGAGATAGGAAAGTGAATCTGTAGTTCCATATTTAATACAGTTTCCCCTTGTGTCCTTAGTGTAACCATCTCACATTTTTTTATATGCTTCCTGGTGTGGCGCTGTAGGATAAGCACTGAGCCACAAGGTTGTTTTGAACCGTGAGGTCAGTGGTGCAAACCCACCAGCCACTCCTCAAAAACCATATACAGAGTTGCTATGATTCAGAACTGACTTGATGGCACTTAACAACAATTGAGAAATATTCTTTGTTGAGCCAAAACCTTCATGTAGTGTTTATTCCAAGGAAAAGCAATGTGTTTCAACAGTGATAAAAATCTTAACTTTTTAAGGATTTACCGAGGATAACAAAGTAATCTGGTACTTAGGAGGTTGTCAGAAGTCATCTTTATTATATGTAATCTTTGTTTTAGGTACTCAAACTCATTTAAGATGCCTAGAATTTAACTCATACCTTTGGTTTAACTTTTTCATGGTCTTCAAACACACACACACACACACACACACAAAGTGATATGTTCCTGAAAGTAACATTTTTTTGCCATATACTTGTTCTCTTATTTCAGGCCGATTTGGAGCAATACAAAAAAGCTTTGACTGATGCGGGATGTAACCTTAATTCTTTACAGTATATCAAACAGTGGAAGTAAGTTTTATCTTCTTTTTAAATTCTTAATCATTTCAGAGAGCACAATTGAGTTTGAGTTCATAAGTAAATGTGAATGCTACTATGAAAACTGAACAATCCTTGGTATATATATCCTGTGGCATAAATATTTCCTTAACTCTTGTACCTTATCCACAATTTAAAATTACATAAAACAGTGATGCCTTGCTTTCCTAGACAAGCTCTATATTTCTTCTACTCAATAAGGGAGCAAGTCAAATAGTAGCATGTTTTAGAAAAAAGTCTTAAAAACATTAGAAGGAATATTTAATTTCATTAGTGATGCATTCAGATTAACATAATGCAGAGATTTAGAAAATACTGTGTCAGGATTATAGGAAAATTAATTGGTACATTCAGATTCTGTTAGTAGGACTATAAATTAACATGAGTTTTCTGGGTTGAATGAAAATGTTGGAAATAGAAGCCCTGATCTAGCATTTCTACTTTTAAGGATTTATTCCAGAGATAATCATTGTTGTTATGTGCCGTTGAGTTGGTTCCAACTGATAGTGACCCTGTGTAGGGTTTCCGACTGGTGAATTTGAATCACCAGCCTTGCAGATCAAATCGACCTTGCAGTTGAGCACTTACCCTACAGCACCATAATATTAGAAGTAGTTTAATAAGTAAATTTGAAAAACCTCAGCAATAGGATTAATGAACTTTGTCGTTTCCAGAGGTGGAATACAATTGAATCATTAAAAATCATGTTGTAAAAGACTAGTTAATGAGATTGGAAAGTGTTCATATTATATTGTTAAATAAAATATCAGGTTGCAACACTATTCTTTGTTTTGTATATTAGATACATATGTCCTTTATCCCAGAGACTCTTCTAGACTTTGGAAGTACAAGAGTAAATACGAAAAGCATTACCCCTACTCTCGCTGAACTTGTATTTGTGTTGGTAAAACAAAGAGGTTAACAAATAAGCAAATAAATGAACAGAATAATATTAAATCATGTTAAGTTAGACAAAGAAAATAAAACTTCAATAATTGATTATTTCTTGGGGGTGATAGTTAATTTTTTTTTAGATCATTTTTTCAAGCCTTTGGATAGGTGACATTTGAGCCAAGAGTAGGTGACATTTTTTACAGTGTGGTCCATACTTTGTATCCATTTACCCATCTGTATGTGTGTATGTATTAATATATACATGTTGTTGCTAAGCACTGTTGAGTCAGTCTGACTCATAGTGACTCTGTACAGGGTTTCTAAGGAGCAGCTGATGGATATGAATCATTAACCTTGTGGTTAGCAATCCAGTGCTTATCCTACAACATCACACCAGGACTCCAATATACACATATCGTCATATAATTACATAATGGCAATGACATACACCTAAAGGTTAATAGTGGATAACTCTATGTGGCAGGATTTTTTTTCCTTTGAGGCGAATTCCTTTATTTTCCAAATTTCTTCAATGAACATTTATATTTAAAATATTTTGAAAATTACATAGTGTTAACATTGAATGGAGTCCAGGTGTGACGCTTTTGGATAAGCAGTGGAGTGCTACCCACAGATCAGCAGTTCAAACCCACCAGCCTCTCCTTAAAAACCCTATTCAAGGTCCCTGTGAGTTGGAACTCGACAGCAGTTAACAACAACATAACATTGAGTATTCTTCCTAATCTCAATTATGTCAACAATCCACAAAGCAAAAGAAATACACCAACTTGTTAAGAGTGGTTTATCTCTGGCAGTGAGTTTACGAGTGCTTTTTATTCTCTATGCTTTAGTTTTTTCCAAACTTCCTTTTGACTATATTGTAGTTGTAATAAAAGAATGCACAACAAATCATTGTTTGGAAACTGCCTTTGGAATTTGTATACTTAACACATTTGACTGTGTGCCATATGTCAATAGTCTTTTTAGGTTATTATTTAGTAAAAGCCTTTACATGTTCGTTGTGGAGTCCCTGGGTGGTACAAACGGCTAATGCATTTTGCTGTGTTGGGTTGGTGGTTCAAGTTCACCAGAGGCACCTGAGAAGAAAGGTCTTGATGATCTACTTTCAAAAAAATCAGACCTTGAAAGCATAGTTCTACCATGACACACGTGAGTCGGCACAAGTCAGGTCTGGTTCATTGGCAACTGCTGTAAGGGAAAGGCATTCTTGGGCATCATTTCATAAGTTTGCAAATACACAATTTTAATTTGTAATATATTTTTCTTTCTAATTGTAAGAACTATACCAGTTTGTTGAAGAAATTTTAGAAAACTCAGAAGGGTATGAGGAAAATAAAAATTTACCTGTAATCTTACCATCCAGAGACTACAGGTAAACATTAGTGTATGTTCTCCATTTTGTGTGCACATCTACAGATAGTTTATAAAAACTGGAAAGTCACTATTATACAGTTTTGTATTCTACTTTTCCATTAATTTCTATCATGATAATCTTTTATTGACTTTAAATTGCCACTGATAATATTTAGTGTTTGCATACTATTCAGATACAAAAATGTACTGCTACTTATTGTTGTTAAGTGTCACCAAGTTGGTTCCAACTTAAAGCAACCTTGTATAGGGTTTCTGAGGGGCAACTGATGAATTTGAGGCAGTGATCTTGCAGTTCAAACTGACCTTACAGTCAAATACTTATCCAACACCTCCATACCAGAATTCCACTACTAATTAATTCTGCTTTATTGTTCAGGAGTAATTATTTGTAGTGGAAAAAAAGATAAATTTTTGTTAAGAGCAAATAATCATTCTAGTGCTGAAAACAGTTGATTCATGTCCTACTTTGTGAGCAAGACTGAAATTCTTGTGTGTGGGATTTTTCTGTTATTATTGGTAGATTTTGTCAAGATTGTGATCAAATTTTTTAGCATTTCAATCACTACATGGTAATGAAACCCATTCTATTAATCTTCTCATACTTTCTTGTACTTAAGTGGCGGTGGTGGTGGTGAAGTGTCGTCAGTTTGATTCCACTTCATAGCGACCCTGTGCACAACAGAATGAAACTGTCCAGACCTGTGCCATCCTCACAATTGCTACACTTCAGCTCATTACTGCTACTACAGTGCTAATCCATCTCTTCCTCTTTTTGGCTGACCTTCTGCTTTTCCAAGCCTGATGTCCTGATCCAGAGACTCTTGATAATAAGTTCGAAGTACCAAAGGGAAAGTCTCTTCATCCTACCTTCTCAGGAACATTTTGGCTGTACTTCTTCCAACTCAGATTTGATGGTTTTTTTGGCAGTCCATAGTACTTTCAATATACTTCTTCAACACTATAACTCAAATTCAACAATTCTTCTATGGTCTTTATTCTTTGTCCAACTTTCACATGCATGTGAGGCTATTGAAAATGACATGACTTGGGTCAGACATACATTAGTCCTGAAACTGATATCTTTAAAGACATCTTGTGCTGTAGACTAATGCAGTACATTATTTAATATCTTGGCTGCTGCTTGAATGAGTGTTAATTGTGGATTCAAGCAAAATGAAGTCTTTGACAACTTTAATCTTTTCTTCATTTATCATAATGTTATTTACTGGTTCAGTGATGAGGATTTTTGGGGTTTTTTTACATTGAGTTGCAATCCATGCTGAAGGTTGTACTCTTTCATCTTCACTTCCAGGAAGCAAGATTGTACCATTTATATATCACAGATTGTTCATGAGTCTTTCTCCAGTCCTGATGCCATGCCCTTCATATAATTCTTCTTAGATTATTTGTTCAGCATGCAGATTAAACAAGTGTGGTGAAAGAATATAACATTGGTACAGACCTTTCCTGATTTTAAATCTTTTAAGTATCCCATTGTTCCATTCAAACAGCTGCCTCTTGGTCTATGTATAGGTTCCTCATGAGCACAATTAAATGTTCTGGAATACCCATTGTTCACAGTGTTACACAGTAGGAAACCTTTGCATAGTCAATTAAGCACAAGTAAACATCTTTCTGGAATTCTCTGCATTCAGTGAACATCAATCTGACATCAGCAATGATACCCCTAGTTCTACCATGTCTTTTTCTAAATCCAGCATGAATTTCTGGCAGTTTTCTATTGATGTACTGTTGCAGCCATTTTTTTCATTATCTTCAGCAAAATTTTACTTGCATATGATGTTAATAATATTGTTTGATGATTTACACATTCCATTCATTGCTCTTCAGAATGGGCACAGATACAGATATCTTCCAATCAGTTGGCCAGGTAGCTGTCTTCCAAATTTCTTGGCATAGATGAGTGAGTGCCTCCAGTGCTGCATAAATTTGTTGAAAGATTTCAATTTGTTTTCTGTCAGTTCATGAAAACTTGTTTTTCATCAATGCCATCAGTGCAGCTTAAACTTCTTCCTTCTATACCATAGGTTCTTGATCATATGGCTACCTCTTAAATTGTGGAACATTGACCATATCTTTTTGGTACAGTGACTTTGTGTATTCATTCCATCTTCCTTGGATACTTTCTTCATCATTCAATATTTTTCCCATTGAGGTGCAATCCATACTGAAGATTTTAATTTTTTCACTATTGTAAGTCAAGGCTTGAGATATTTCTTCAGTTTTTTCAGCTTGAAAAATGCCGAGTTGTTCTTCCCTTTTGGTTTTCTAACTCCTAGTCTTTGCACATTTCATTATAATTCTTGACTTTGTCTTCTTGAGTTGCCCTTTGACATTTTTCTTCAGCTCTTTTTCGTTTTTTCCATTTGCTTTAATATATCTTTGCTTCTGAGCAAATTTCAGAGTCTCTTCTCGTATCCATTTTGGTCTGTTCTTTTCTTTCTTTTTTAATGACCTTTTACTTTTTTCCTGTATAATGCTCTTCATGTCATCCCACAGCTCTTTTGGTCTTCGGTCATTAGTATCTAGCACATCAAATCTTTTCTTGAGATAGTCCCTAAATTCAGGTGAGCTGTGTTCAAGGTCATTTTGGCTCCTGTGGACTTGTTTCAATTTTCTTCAACTTCAGCCTGAACTTGCATGTGAACAATTGATTATCTGTTCCACTGGCCTTGTTTTGGCTTATTATAGAGAGCTTTTCCATCATCTTTTCCCACAGACAATAGTCAATTTGATTCCTTTGGTTCTGTGTATAGTCAGTTGCTTTTTTTTTTTTTTTAATGAATTGAGAGCGATAGTTTGCATGGGAGAACATCGGTTTTACACTCATTGTTTCATTGCAATGATTACAATCTTCCGTGCATCATCATCCAACAGTGTTTGCTTCTGTTCCCTCTGAGTTTTTTGGTTTTTTTTGGAGGGCGGGGGAAAGGATGTACACAAAAACACTCAGCAATATATAATCATTTAAAGAACAAAAGGGTACATTTTGCAAGCCTGCCTCCTGGCCTTTTCCATAGTCTGCAGTACTCAGCTACTCAGTTTCTCCATGTCCCCATCTCTGGTGTCGCTGCTTCTCTAGATAGGGTCCTACATTCCGCTCATGCTTTTCTCCCTTGATGGTCCTAGGGTCTTTTGTTTCTCTTTTCTCCCTTGATGGTCCTAGGGTCTTTTGTTTCTGGACAGTCGGTTGGTTTTTATGTTGTTTGCAAAAAGTATTTGCAATGAAAAAGTCATTGGTCTTGCAAAATTCTATTGTATCTCCAGTAACCAAGACCATATTTTCCAGCTACTTAACCCTTCCTCTTTGTTTCTAACCTTTGCATTGCAATCACCAGTAATTATCAGTCCATCTTGATTCCATGTTTGATCAGTTTTAGACTGCAGGAGTTGGTAAAAATCTTCAGTGTCATCATCACCAACTTTTGTTGTTGGTACTTTTATTTGAATAATAGTGGTCTTCCTTTTGGCATGTGGAGATCCTGTCACAAATAACGTTGTCCTTTATGATGATGAATGTGATGGCATTCCTATGATTGCTTGTTTCAAAATGGGGTATACCAGTCCATTTGAACTCACTAATGTCTAGGATATCAATCTTTATGTGTTTCATTTAATTTTTGACTACTTCTTATTTTCATAAATTTCATACCTTGTACGGTCCATATTTTGATCATTAATGGATGTTTGCAGCTGTTTTGACCCTTCTGCAAATGAAAGTCCCAAAAGTTTTATTCCATTCTTGTCATCATGGTCAACTATTTGGAGGACCCAACACTTGCCCAGTTACATTTTGGGTGCCTTTCAACTTAAGGGGCTTACCTTCTGGCACTATATCTGTCAATATTCTGGTTCTATTCATAATGTTTTCATCTTCCGGAACTGTATCTGCCAGTGTTCCACTTCTGTTCGTACTGTTTTCAGTGGTTAAACATTCAGAAATAGTCTACATCTTTTCCTTTCTAGTCTGTCTTTATCTGGAAGCGCTGTTACAACCTGTCTACCATATCTGACCCTGCTGGTATTTAACTCACGAATGGCATAGCTTCCAACATCATAGCAACATGCAAGCCACTACAGTACAATAGACTGACAGACAAATGGTGGTTGTACTTAGGTAGCATTTTTTTAATTTATGAAATAATTTGCATAATTAAGACTCATATTGTAAAAGAAAATTGACATAAAGATGTTTCTGCTATGTTATTAGTGAAGATGTGCTATACAGCAGTATGGGCACTATATTGAGTTTGATTGTAAAATTATGCAAGATATATACGAATATGTATAAAATTAAAAGAATATGTATAGCATAAATCCTAACAGTGGTTACCACAAAGTTGTAGGATTCTTCTGGAAGCATTCTGTATTTTCTCGATTTTCTATGCTAGAAATATTCCCAGAAGAAAAATGCTTTTAAGAACAAAATTAAGTGCCATATTTTGCTTAGTCTTCAAGAATCGTATAGTTAATGGGATCATTTAGAGAAAGTTGAAAATAAATAGTTTAGCCTATGCTGTGTATGTTTTCACATACACAATTTATTTTTAAGATTAAAAGTAAATGACTATGAAATAAGTGTAAAAATATGTGGTATAGAATATAAATAAAAGGAGAAGTCATTGGATAGTAGAATTAGAACAAGTGTTCATAAAGAAAGTGATTTTGAGCTTAGTCTTAAAGAAAATGTCTGATTTCTATTGGAGAAGAGACCTATGAGTGCACTCCTCACAGGACATCTTAAGGAAAGGCATATAATCATTTGAGGATGAAGAAGTATGGATTATGGGGCACAATAAAGGGACTATACTTAATCCTATAACGTTTTTAAATCAGCGAGCCCAATCTCAGTTATTTTCTTTAATGATTAGATAAAGTGAAAAGGGGGCAAAAATCATGAAGTTTAGGAAACTTTTGCCTTTGTGGTTTTTTTGTTTGTTTATTTAATGTTTTATTGTGAATTATATGATAGTTTACATGGGAGAACTTTAGTTTTACATTCATTCCATCTTATATCATCTCATTGCCATGGTTCCAATCCCCTCCATGCATCATCAACCACCCAAAGGGTATATCCCAGAAACCCGCCCCCTACACATTTGTGTTTTTAAAAGAATTTTGATGATTCAGTATTAATTGTGGGGAGTGATAGTAATTAAAAATGATTTCGCTTTTCAGAAACTGTTTAAATGGAGAGTTAATCAAGATCATCAATTTTACATTCAACAAATCATACAACACAAAAACAGTTGTGCTGCATCCTCCCTCTGGTTACTCATGTAGAAATATCCTCTTTCAAATTCTTACATATTTGTGGGAGGTATAAATATATATACATATATATCCCACTCCTCCTCCCATATCCATTTAGCCTGTGTCTCTGTCCATGTGTGTACACACAGAACACTGTTGTTCCAAGGTTGTGTATATATCATTAGTTATTTTAAATAACATGACACTGAAAATTAACTCCGATAAATGGCAGCTTTTAAATATAACTTTTTTATTTCATAGGGCTTTTGCCAAGATGGCCTCAGCTCCCACCAACTATGGCAGCACTACCACTAAATCAATGGGGTAAGTTTTTAATAATCCTTATTTAAATTTTGTACTCTAAATTGTAATTACACATTCTTTAAAAACACAATCGCTGATATTTTTAATACAGAATATTTTTATTGTGATGCAGATTAAATGTCAACTTGCATCTGGCTTCCACAGATGTTTTAAATTCTTGTTTTAAAATATAA